CTTATAGTTTATGGTCTTACTGAATAACATCACAACAATGATTTTATTGTTGTAATGTTTACGATGTTTAAACCATCAAAACACTGAATGTTTCATTAGAGGACTTCACTAACCTGTTTGTAACAGTGTGCCTACTTGGGAGTCAGAACTTAAGGCATGGTGAGATACTGTAAATGCACTGAATAGGGTGTAGCTGTACATATGGACATCACTACAGAATGGTGAACCTACTGTATAGTCAACTGTACAGTGAAGAGGGGCTGATGTTGTACACATGCTTTGACATCTGTACAAAAATATCACTTGTTTCTCAAGGCTGTGCCTGGCTGAACAGGCTGAGATTACATATCTCTTTATGTAATCTCATATTTCCACATACAATTACAAAATATGTCCTTTTGTTTTACAGATAACTATATGTTTAATACCTAAATTATGACTTAAGAACCAAGTCAAACCAAATTACCTTCGCAAGAGCAGTTTTATTTGCCAACAGTGTAAAATATTGAATGTGAGAAATGTATTGGTAAAACATGACAGGCATAAACAGGATCTAAGTCTGACTCTCTGAGGTCACGGTATATATTTAGTTCTTGTCTCACACTTACATGCTGAACAAGTTGTTAAACCTTAAACTATAAAAAAACTAACTCTGTCAAAACACATCATAATATGCATACTTATTTTCACCAAAACTAAAATGTCGTGAAAATGAAAGGACTTGCCTGACCAGGAAGCTAAAAGCACCTGTTCTGCCTGATGTACACATGTGCTGTGCACAGAAATGCCTGACAGGACACTCACACTACCTGTTGGAGCAGTTTCTTGGCATCTGATGTTGTTTCACAGAGCACCAGGAATTATTAGTCTTAAAAGGTGCAGGGTGAGGCATTACTTTTAAAATGCCAATACACATGTATATATATCAAAGGCTCCAGTGCTATCTGTGATGTGGATTATGAGACACGTTTACTTTTGCTGCCAGACATCAATAATTGAACCTTGTACTTCTGGATGATAAAAGAGCCAATTGACACAAGTTAGGTATTTATGAGTCATACTGGCCATAAACATCAGACCTGAATTAAAGTTTGCATTCTACAACAATAGTTTCACAACCTGAGCTTCACTCGACAAACTTAACTTCCCATCTGAAAGCCCAGAACAGCCCAAACTCCCTACCACATTAAGTGACCTACATTTTGGGCTAATTGCAAGTTCTGCACATTACATATGCACACACACGCCAACTGCATGGCAGGGCTGGCATTAACAGCTCCAAAGCCCTGCTTGTTGGGAGTCAGGCCAGACCCCCTCGCATCACCATGGAGATGGCCCTCCATTGTGGGGTAAGAATTAATGCACTTGAGGGGTCCTGGCACGTCTACAGTCCCGTTACAAGTGTGTGGGGGGTTCATTCATGTTTACACAGAGGAGACGAGAAGGACAAATTATGGTTTAAAATGCAGGAATTCAACTGCACCGCTTCGCAAAAATCATTTCTGGGAGGTGGTAAAAATCTCCCACTGAAGCAACAAACTGTGCTGGTAATTACAGCGTAATGCACACCAAATCACTGGGTATAGTGGGAGAGGCTGTAGACATTACATGACTCAAAGTGCCACACACATTTGGTAGAAACTGAGCAGAAACCCAATGAAACACACCTTCTCCTTCATAAACCCCAGTGCTGTCTGACGTCACGGATTCCTTGCAACAGGTGCAAAAGACGACGGGAAGTGTCGTGAAACTTACCTGAAGCAAAAGTTTCAAGTCACCAAACTACATCCGACAGGAACATAAGGTTAAATGTTGCCGTGTGTTTCATCGTTTCCCTGCCGTGCGCATATGATCACAATTCCCCGGATCGTAACCGGTGCTGGGAAACCAGGTAGCAGCTGGAGGTTTTGGGAGTGGCTGGCAGATTTTCGCTTTAACTCCTTCCTCTCCCCAGGAAAGGTCAACCAGCTGACACAACCTGTTTGTAACCTGTTCTGGAGTGTCATCACAGCCACAGACTGTATTTTTCAAGTCCCAGAGCTAAAAACAGCCCCTCCTTCAGCTGCACTGCAAAGCCCTTTCATCCACTGCAAACCTCCAGCTCCTCCCGAAGTTTAACCACATCTGTTTAATACAAAGGTGAACCATACGCACCTGATAAAAGTGATCCCGCACCCTCAGAAACTTTCGCTGAGTAAAACTGAGGTCTTGAATCAGCTTTTACCGAAGTATTCAAGGAACACCTCTTTTTTTTCAGCCATTGAAATGGCATGAAGGGAAAGACCGGGCATTCATATGCTGATGAGCTGGCTCTGACACACCGCAATCAACCGAAACGGTATTCTAAGTCCTTCCTTCACTAGTGTCAACACCAATAAATGGTGGGATCTTATATCTAAGCAAATCCAACCATTCAGTGCTCAGGTTAACCAGGAACACGTTCAATAATATTACACGTGAATCTCTGTTGATCTTGGTTGGGACTAGGCGTGAATTTGATATGAGAGTGTTTTGTAGCTTCAGAAAGAGCCGCGCACGCAAACTGCCGCAAGGGATGTCCCTTGAGTCAGCAGGGGCTGGGGACAGCACAATTAAAAAGCGCATATAAAACCTGGGATGTAGACTTAGAAAGAAGTGATCGCTGAAGCTCGCTCCTCAGAGCATTATGGGTAATGTAGGCGGCAGCTTTCAAACATAGACTGTATATAAAAGCTGGATACAGCCCATGTTGAAGCACTTTGAACCCACATTCTTTTTGATGACCATTAGGGAGCTGTACTACGAAACTAGTTCAGCATAGCTTAGCTTTCTCTGCATTAGCTGGCTCTACAAAACCTAAAAACAAAACAATCCTGTGTTGTTAGTAACAGGTTACATATGTAAAATAATTGTATTCCTTCGGCACAAAATCTCTATAGCACTTAAAACATGCTCTGAGCCTTACCTGTTACAGGTAGGTTACCATGGTGATTTAGCTAGATTAAAAAAGAGAGCTAACCCTTTAGTACTTCGTACAACAGATGTTTTTTATTTCTCAAATAGCCCTCAGCTCTCGTGATCTATGGCCTCAAAAACGTTCTGATCAGTTTATGATGTCATTTGCTAGTTTAAAGTTTTACTGAATACAACATGATGATCGTTTTATGCATTGTGAAACCTGTTAGCTAAAAGATCATGGTTACCCTGTGACTGACATTTCACCACCATATGAATATGGAGATGTAGAAGGCAGTGGTGACAGGAGTCCATGTCCATCTTTTAAATACAGTTTAGGCTTTAATGAAGGTTGGCTCCTAAAAATAAGTTCTCCCATTTCTGGTTAGAATGGATACATATGCATTAATAGTACTACTAAGGTATTACTAGTATAATGGGGCCCTTTTTTGTACAACACATTCTTCTCTTTGATTTTTTGTGTGTTCCCAACAGTACTTAGGTACCTTCACTGTTTTTAGTTGAATCCTTAACGCTAGTAAGTTCTGTGGTTTTACAGTTACTAGTTCCAGTTCAGGTATTTTCACAGCTTTTGAAAGATATAATAACAGTAATATAATAATATGTTAAGTCATGTTGCCTGTCGTTGCCTTTAGGCTTTTTTGGGGTGCAGCATGTAAGCCTCACCTTTCTTAACTCAATTCAAGCCTCCACACGATCCTATTTCTGCCCGTGTCCCGTGGGCTTTCCCAGACAATGGGTCTGCTCGGCTCATAGGTTTTCTATTTAAGGAGCAGGCCATTTAAATCTGGATTTTGCCATGTATTTTATAAAAATCAGTTAAGATTACAGTTTTAGATGCTCTAGAATAAAAAGACAAGACAATATGTTAAGGATAATAAATACTGAGATATGTACATGTTTGCAGGTTTAATAACAGTCTGCAAATACTGTATGGTCAATAACATCAACAGAACTATATATATATATATATA